CTTTCTTTTCTTGTGGTCAAATACTGCACTTCCCTCTTGGTCTTTGTGCATTCTGAATGTAGGCTTAAATTTCTCTCTGATTTCTCGGAACGTCCGGAAAAGATGTTTTGTTTTTCTCCTTTTGTGTTTTCTATTTCTTTACACTGGTTGTAGTAGTAGTTCTCTTTGTCACTCATGGATCCTTGCTGAAAATCTGCATTCAGGTTTCTGACTCTATTTCTGTCACCTTTTACATTTGCTTCTCCTATTCCCTTTAACATTTTAAATGTTTCTTCTGTCATCCATCTAGGCTTTTCTTTTTATTACAGGAATGTTCTTGTCGTATTCTTCCCTAATAATATCTCTGGTTTCAATCCACAGTTCTGGTTCACAGTCAGTTGAGTTTAGTAAGCAGCAAATCAGTTTCTTAACTTGTAAATTATCAGGAATGTTGTTTAAATTATATTTTGACACTACAAATCATTTAGTTTTTCTTTAGGTTATAATAACCGTTAAACACTTATGAATCCTTTGAAACCCTAGAGTAAAAATGTGCACAGTGAAATTGTAAGGGCACCTACTCGCTGTATTAAAAGAGAAGTGTTTTCATTGTTACAGGACTTTCCTTCTATTAGAATGTAAACTCCGTCCATGTATCTTAGCTGCTGGAATTACAGACTGTAAACTGATCCGCACTATGCCCATGGTAATGCTAACCTTACTAATTTCCTTGAAGTTTAGTCTGTGCAAGCATATCCAAACAAAACCAAAACAAAATAGAAACCAAGAAACGAAAAACTTAGTCACACCTTGAAGACTAGCTGTTGTATTTCAGAATGAGCTCTCATGGATGAATCCACTTTGTCAGCGCTCTAATACATCTGACAACGTGAATGGATCCACAAAAAGCTCACATTGGAATATAACAGCTAGCCTTCAAGGCATTTTTGTTTCTGTTTTTTTGTATTTTGTTCAGGTTGCGTCTGGATAAATTCCCTGAAGAAACTTTCCTGAGTGCCCGGCTTTAGGCATTTGCTAGGAAGGTGGTATTAGGGTGGGAACTAGGGGCCTCGGGACTATTTCTCAGCTCCTCCTCAGTTGCTACAGGGAGCCCAGTTGTAGATTGAGGAAGGGCTGATGGACCTGCAACGTTGACTCCATCGTTTGACTGACTTCCACGGAGGCTGAGAAACAAGCAGAGGACTCTCCCTCCCCCTCTGTGTTGGTGTGAACATGGATTGAAGCTTCGAGTGTGTGATTTGCGCAGAGGCTTCACTGTCCTTTATCCTCTGTTTCCATGAGGTAACAAAAATATAATCCAAGCAGAATCTTTGTTGCTCCTCACAGTGGGGAAAGAAGGCTTAAAGAGCCTCTACCTGCATCTTCCTCTTCAGGAAGGTAACTATGTGTCTGTGTCTTCAAACATTTTTTTGCTGCTGGCTTCCAGGGTGGAACCTCTTTATATCCACTTTGTACCCGAGCCCTATAGGAAACAGAACTGTCCTTGAGATTTAATCTGTGATAGCGGTTAGACCACTGGACTAGGACTTTGCTGACTGGGGTTCAAATTGCCACTTAGCCATGAAATTCACAAGGTGTACCCGTCACTACCTCTCAGTTTAGCCTACATCATTGTAGGAATGTTGGAAAGACAGAAATGGGGAGGAGGACCATGTACAGGCTTGAGTACCTGGGGAAAAGGTGAGATACAAATGGATCAAATGGAGAGAGAGAGAGAGAGAGAGAAGCTGGGACTACAAGAAATTGGTTTCCTTGTTGGCCGCCCTCAATGGCTAGTCATTCTTTTTAAAATTACAATGGTCAGATTGTTTGTTGCAGAGATAGTTCCAGTCAATCATAGAGGAAAACAGATCATAGAGAAGTGGGAGATGAATGCAATAACAAAACCTTCAAATAGAAATCCTTATTTCAGAGACTATTTCATTGAAGGGTTATCTTGTGAGAACACTTTCTGGTTTGTTTAATCTTTCTTGAATGTGAATTACAAGGTGTATTAAAAAGGAGTCAAGCTATCAAAATCAAATTGTATTTGTTTGGCATTTTTCCCCCTGTGTAATTTTTTAGCAGCTTGTGACCAGGGCACCTATTCATAGTGTCAACCCACCATCATTCTGAAATGTTGAGGTAAACCACCTCCAGTGTAGTCCCATAAACCGTCACAATGATCCAGTTTTTTAAAAAATGGTGTTTCATCTTGGAAAACCAAACTTCACTACCCTTGAAGATGAGTTTGGGTGGGTGTGGCTGAAGCACCTTGGATCCTCTCAATTTGAACCAGAGGAACAGCCTCAGGCTAACAGTCATAGCATAGCAGATTGTTTAAAAAAGGCTGCAGTTGTCAGTCTCATTGCCTGAAGTCCTGGACACACATTCAAGGATGCACCGTATTTTTGTTAGCTAATACAAGTAAGCTGACCGCCGCAGAGAAAGCTGACCGCCGTAGAATTGATGCCTTTGAATTGTGGTGCTAGAGGAGACTCTTGAGAGTCCCCTGGACTGCAAAGAGAACAAACCTATCAATTCTAAAGGAAATCAATCCTGAGTGCTCACTGGAAGGACAGATCCTGAAACTGAGGCTCCAATACTTTGGCCATCTCATGAGAAGAGAAGACTCCCTGGAAAAGACCCTGATGTTGGGAAAATGTGAAGGCAAGAGGAGAAGGGGACTTTGGGTGGGTGTGGCTGAAGCACCTTGGAACGTCTTCTCAATTTGAACCAGAGGGGCAGCCTCAGGCTAACAGTCATAGCATAGCAGATTGTTTAAAAAAGGCTGCAGTTGTCAGTCTCATTGCCTGAAGTCCTGGACACACATTCAAGGATGCACCGTATTTTTGTTAGCTAATACAAGTAAATATACTGTATGAAGTTTTAACTGGAAACCTCCTCCTCTTCTTCCTCCTGGGAAAGTTTCATGCCTGTTGTTCTCTTTTGCCTCTCTTTTTTCGATTTCCAGCAGCTAGTGTTTGAAACTGGATGAAAACCTTTTCCGTCTTGTGAGAATATAATAGGCAGCAGGAGGTAAGGAGGAAGGAAATGGTCTCTGCTTGAGGATGTTCTTGCTGCTGCTCAGAGGGTGTGGGAAGGAGACAATTGTTGCCAATTCTGAAGGGATAGTCACTACTTGAGCAGGGACGACGTAAAAGGATTCCTCAGAAACCCTTTCTTTGGACATGCTAGGCAAGAATTCTTTATTCTCTGAGAGTATGTCCTGAGTACTCAATCTGAAGGCAAAGGTGGGTGATACCTTTAGTAAAACACTTAAAAATCACAGAGATAAGCTAACCCTCGACCCCAGGTGGATCCCCACCAGGAAGGGCAAAACAGAACTGGGATTGGGGTTGGGGTGGTTTGTACAAGAAACATAGAAGTTACAGAAATGGGGGGGGGGCAAGTAGATTCAGGTCAGAAGTGTAGGTTTCAGTGGAGTTGTGTGGTTTAAAATGTCTCTCCTGGTATTGTTAGACAAAGGGTTGCTAATAATTGGTACCCTTCCCCACCCAACCTCCATTTCTGTATTTTGAAATGCAAGGTTCCTTTTTGGCTGGGGATAGAGGCGCACAGAAACATGGCAACCCCTCATATCAGAGCAGTTAAATGGCGTCTGAGCTTGCTGTTGGATTCTACCCATGAATTTGCCTATAAAATAATTCTGAATATGATTGAGTCTGGTGTAACCTTTATTTATGCAAGTTTTCTCAGAGAACACTTACAAAATCATCACATAAGCATCAAAATGTGGACCCTACTCAAAACACAACTTTAGCTGTGCACTTCTGCTCAGGCATAGGTTAAACTACTTGTCGTGTCAAATTAGGGATGGATAAATTTGTGAAGTTGTTTTTTAATTTTTCCATTCCTCAGTTTGTGGAAAAACATTCCCATTTGTGTGAATGTTCAGCTGAAAGTTTGCATCAACATTTGTATGTATTTGGGGCACGTAACTCCTGACATTCAAAAATATAATGAATTTCTGTCTAATGTACACTTTTTTAAAAGGCTGTTCATTTTTTGTAAACTAATTCACTGTTTTGCTCTCAGTATGTGTATTTTGTACATATTAGTTGTTTGTAGAATTACAACATTCTGAAGACACAGAGATGTGCAGGTTTGTAGTTTTTTGGACTACCGCTCTCAGGATTTGCCTAGATAGCTATGTTACCTAAGGCAATTGTTATTCAGCGTTGGGTAACCCAGGTGTTCTTAGACTGGAACTCCCAGAAACCTGGGCCAGCACAGCTGGTGGTAAAGGATCCTGGGAATTTCAGTCCAAGAACACCTGGGTTACCCAAGTATGGGAACCAGTAACGTAAGGAATTCTGGAGTTGAAGTCCAAAACCACAAATATGCTTTCCTTACAAACCAATAGGATTCTGGTCAACAATTCAAAAACCTGATATGACCTTGATACATTCATATCACAGTGCAAATAGAAGGATCCCCCTCCCATGGCTATGTGATGTTAAATAAGGACTGGAGAAAAGACAGATGGCTCACAAGGACTGGATGTTTTGATTTCCATAACTTAAGGGCACAGAATCAACCATGATACAGAGAGCTACACAAATAGTTGAGGAGAATTGATTAAGAAGACCTGGGTTCAGTTCCCCTTCTGGGGCATGGAAACTCACTGGTGGGTGGAACTGTTAAAAGTGTTCCTTAAATATCCCGCTTACCTTGAAAGCCCTATTAGGGTCAGTATAAGTCAGTTCTGACTTGGTGCATAGCAGCAGCAGAAACAACAAATGTTTTGTTTCCTCATGTTTGAGCAATAGGAGTGCCAGTTGATGTTTTGGCTTCTTGGATTGCCCTGATAAAATATGCTGTAGAGTTTGTGATCATTTGCTAGTTCTTGTGGAAGTTCACAACTTTGTACTGTATAATGATTACAAATATTAGATGTCATTTTATAGTGTAACCCCATTGCAGCTTACTTCAGGTAAATGTCTAGCCTTTCAGTTAGATACATGGGGAATGATAATTTCTGCTGTTTTTTATGGTAGTCTTTCAGGTTCACAAGAGTTCATGTTTTGAGACTTGAAGGAAGAGAGATCTGCTGTATCAATGGCCTTGGTAGAAAAATCTCCCTTGGATGTCTCACTGAATGTGAAAACAAAGGGCTGTGGTCAGTGGAATTACATGGACCTAGAGATGGAGTACCCTGAACTAATTCGCAGGGGTTGCCAGCCCTTGGCTGTGAAAGATGGAAGGCGGTTGCTCAGAGCAGCTGAAGATGAAGGGCCTGCAGCAGTAGAGGAAGCCGACCATGAAGCTCCTGGCATTCCTGAGAAGAATCAGAACCCTTCAACCCTGCCTTTGATGCCATCTAGCGGATTGTCCAAGATCAAAGCAAAAGCAACATATGTGGAAAGCCAACCACTAATTGATGGGAATGCTCAGGATGGTGATGTGCCTCTTTATTTTAGCAGAGGTGGTTTATGGTCAGAAGAGCAACAGGTGAGAGTATTTTCATTATTCGTAGTTTGGCAGTGCTACTTAACTCTTGCAAAAGAGAGGTGCCTGCAATTTATAACCTATATAACATGTGGTTCTTGCATTGAGGAGTGCATAGCCTTTATTGTTCAGTATCTCATGTTCTAAATTGGAGCCCTGTTGTAGATAGTATTGGAACAAATTGTAGATACGTTTGCAAAGCGTACTATTTATGCACTTTCTGGATTTGAGATGAATAGGGATGCTTTGGGTGCATTTTGTCACTTTGACAAGGTAATTTTCACTAGTTCCTGATTTGTATGTTTGTATCCATCAGCAAAGATGCAGTAAAACAGCGTATCCATCTTTGAACATTATCATTTGTTATGATCTTGCCTATGATGTAAGTAATGTATGAGTCCTAATTCCTGTTGGGTGGATTTTTGACTAGCCTTGGCATAAAGACGTAAACACGCGACTCTTATCAGGGAGCTATTACAGATATCTTTGGGGAGCCACCCTTTGTTAAGGCAGGACAATGGAACTCAGTTACTACTGCTGCCCTTGTATTAACAAGAGAGGTGGTGGCTAATACATTTTAAGAGGAGGAAGAAGGTTAGTGTGGTGTTTGTGAATGTATATGTATAATAGCAAATTTGTAGTACAAGGTTGTCTGTTTTGTTGCCTGAAGCATGTATTTGTGATTAACAGATTTTTGGCTTCACAGAACTGCTTTATTTCTATCTCCTAGGCCAGTGATGGCGAACCTATGGCACGCATGCCACAGTTGGCACGCGGAGCCCTTTCTTCTGGCATGCGAGCCATAGGGTGCTTCCCCCCCCCGCTACTCGGGTGCCTCTTGCTCCTGCCTCCCCCACCCACCTGATCCCCACCTCCAGTGGGACTGACGGGCTCAGCTCACCTCGGCGCCTTGTCCCCTCCGGTGGCAGAGGCAGGAGGAGGCAGAGATGGGGGCAAACAAGCACACTCTTGCGCTCGGGCACCTCTTCCTGCAGCCGCTGCCGGATCACCTCCTCCAGCAATTGTCTCCTTAGGGCAGGGGACAAGGCAGCAACCTGAGCTGTAGGTGAGCCCCAGCAGTTGCACTGGAGAAGATGATCGGGCCGGCAGCAGAGACAGCAGCAGCAGCAGGAGGAGATGGAGGTGGAGAAGCAGTTGCCCATTTACTGCTCCTTCGCCTCCATCAAGGGTCAAAATTAGGGGGCTTTTTCATACATTGGGGGGTCGTATAATTGGAAAAATATGGTACATTCATTCTCTCTCTCTTACTCACACACGCGCGCGCACGCACGCACGCGCGCGTGCACACACACACACACACACACACATTAAATCCTGCTCTAGAATTTCTTGTTCTGTGCTGGCTGGAGGATTATGGAAATTCAGCAAAATAACTGTTTGAAACTCTGGGATTAGGTTTGTTCTTCCTAGAGACTGCGCTGCTAGTTATTGCTGAAGAATAAACAGTGTGGCTAAACAAGCTCTTGCCTGAATTATGTGATTAGCAGAACACTGCACCTCCGTGCACCTTAAGTGCTATGTACTCTCTCTAGTTCATAGATCTTCCTAAAGATTTGTATAAACTTGAGGAGTGTAGAGAGCTCACTGTAGTAAAATGTTGTGAGAGGAATCCGATTAACCCCTCTCAGTGGAGATTCTTCCCCCTCCCCCCAAAAAATCTAATTTTACAGTTCTTTGTATGCCCTCAGAATCTTCCCTGGAGGGTTGGGAGGCCCTCCAGAAGAGATTTGACTGATTTAACTGTTCAGATTCACTCCTAGCCAGATGTGAGCAGCCAAGCTCGGAGCAGAATCCAGGAGTAAACCCAGACTGTAAACTTGAGTTCATACAGTGAAACCAAATGTACATTTGTTACTCCTAATAATTTTGAATTCACCAATTGATGTGAGTTCAGTGAGCACTGAACTTGGGGTATTCTGAAGGTTTTTTATTTTATTCAATTTGATTTTTAAATGGCTTAATTTATGTTGGAGAATGTGCTGTAGCTCACTACAGTGGCCAGCAGAGAGCACGTTCTAGCAATCTCTGTTAATCTGTGCATATGTCAATTGTAAGTCTACAGTGCAGCTACAGTGGTTAGGCATATACAGCTCAGTTGTAACATTATACTCACAGTATCATCAGGAAGTTTTCTCAGCCTTTTGGAACAGGTTTCAATGTTGCACAGAAAGTTTCAGGAGGGAAGGGGTATCACTTCTCTTGCTTCTGTTGTTGAAAGCATTTTTGCCACCAGTACTGTTGAGTACTGATCCACATTTAGTAGCTAGTGAGCATTTAAGAACTATCCAGCCACACAGGTAGGGATGAGGTTAGGAATATAGGGGGGAATAGCAAGCAGTTGAACTGAACAAGCTATATTTGTTTGTTTGGCTTTTATACTGCCTATCTAGATGAATCTACTCTGGGCAGTTTACAGTCCAAAAAAGGCAATAAAGTTAAAATCATCAATAAAAAGACTAAAACAAGCCAAAAACGAGAGGGAAAAAATAAGTAGTGGCAGGAGGGAAGGCCTGCTTAAAGAGCCAGGTCTTCAGTTTTAAAAACTCCCAGCGAGGGAACCAGGCGGCTGGGGATTTCTCCAAACTGGAGACCAGAGCAGGACTATGATCTTGATTTAGCTACATATTTCTACAAGTTTTGTTTGGGAGACATATCGTCCTGGATAGGAAGGATGGAGATGGTGATCAATGGGAGAAATCAGGTTGACTTCAAGTTGCAGTTTTGTGCATACTTAACGGGAAGGAAGACCACCGAGTTTGCTAGATTTTCCAAGGCACATAGGACTGTACTGCAAATCTATATACAGTGGTGCCTCACACAACGATGTTAATTGGTTCCAAAAAAATCAATGTTGTGTGAAACATCGTTCTGTGAAACACCATTTCCCATAGGAATGCATTGAAAACCGTCTTTAAGTGAAAAATCCCATAGGAAACATCGTTGAGTGAAACAATGTTTCCTCCATTGGAATGTATTGAAGCCGACTCAATACATT